CAGAACATTCGGCTCGTATTGCCACCGTGCCTAGGGCCTCGATCGACCCCAGAGGCTTTTCGGATAGAAAGAATTAACATAAAGAAACGATCCAATATTTACTTGCAACTCGTTCGGCCCGCCTCCCCCCTCTCCTGCATGTCGTCCAGGGCTGGACCGGAAGAGCGTGCAAATCACTTGCGGCTTGCGTGATCTCCAGTTGTCCCTCAGGGGCTCGCCAGGGAGCCCGCCTCATGCAAGCAAACTGGCCAAAATCTAATGTTGGCCAGTGTTGACCGAAAACAGTGAGTTATTGCACTGTGGAGGTGAACTGTATGTGGTGTACGCGATGCAGTGTAGACTATGGTGTCTAGGCTTTGCGGCCTGAGCTATGTGGTGCAAGCTATGTTGTGTAAGCTATGTGGTGTAAGCTGTTGTGAACGCTAGGTGGTGTGAACTATATGGTGTGAACTATGTTGTGTAAGCTATGTGGTGTACAGTATGTCGTGTAAGCTATGTTGTGTGTCATGTTGTGTGAGCTATGCTCTGTAATCCCACCAGCCCTTTGGGCTACGGTGGTTCAACGAGTTGCTTCTGTCCTCTTCCAACACAAGCCTTCTCCTCATGAGGTATTTGAAAGGGCGTCGCGATGTTCCACGGGGTCTTTCTTCGCCCAAGATGGCTTCTCTTGTGCTTCCAGGTCTCCGAGGCTGCTCAGGATCCGCCACCGTGCCTTCAGCAATGCAGTTGAGTGCCCCAAGTCTCCTGCAGCCCTGAGAGGTTCCAAGGTTCAAAGGTTATTGAAGGGGCCCTGGGACACAATAGACACAAAGAACAGGATTCCCAATATTTTCCAATCGTTTCTGGGTTTTCTTCCCTCCCACTTACCATCTGTTCCCATATTTGCCTGGGAATCGGCGATTAATTGTGTCAATGTGTTTCTTTCCCTCCTGAATTATGTTATGGCCCAGACCCCCCGGTGTCCCAGGCTCCGCCCGGCCCCCCTGGGGCGTCACTGGGATGTGTCGCGTGGGCCTCTGGTACGGTGACCCCGCCTAACAGGGGTTAAACATAGGCGCAGAGGGTCCCCCAACGGCCCCAGCAAGAAGCCTCCGAGACGGCCGAAGAGATTTCCAAGATGCCCAAGACGGCCCCAAGACGGTCCAAGAGGCCTCCAAGACACCCCAGAGGCCTCCAAGAAGCCCAAGAGGGCCCCAAGCGGTAGAATTCATGGATTCGACTTCGGTATTTGAAGGATGTCAGCGTTCGCGCCTTTCGGTTTCCCGACGCTTCAAAACGGCCCACGAGACCCCAAAACCGTGCGGTCACCCCGAATCTCCTTCTGGCTCACTGCATGGGCTCTCCTCCGAATGTTTAGTGTCAGGGTCATAACTCATGTCTTCGGTGTTTTTTCGGGACGATCTGGGCAGCCCCACAACGCTCTCGGCGAGGCGCAACTGCTGGAACGCATCCCCAAACAAGAACACCTACAGGTATCGAAGACAACGTCTGAGGCCGTCCAAATCCCCACCTTGCGAATCGCTCGGACTTCATTCCCGTGCACTTTGCGGTTTCGTGCGGTTATGTTTCGCGAAATGATCCAGAATGCTCCTCGCCGAAAAAATGCACACGTCCGAGCGATGCCACGCCACTGACTCACCACACGGTGTGGTCACTGCACCGTCTGGGGGCCGCCAACTCTTGTGAACGTTTTCTTATTCGGCGTTTCGACATTGGGCGGAAGGGGGGAAGGGAGGGGTGTCTGGCTCCGGACCTCTGCTTCATGCGACTGTTTCCAGCAGTGCGTCCTATGGAAGAACCTCCACCTGCTTGGAACAGGCGCCAACAACGGCCAAGATCTTCCCCAATGGGGAAGAGAAGGGGGGGTGCGAGGGCCCGCGCCGATCGGTAAAACAATGAATCAGACAACGACCACCTTCGAGGGAACCTCCAGAGATCCCCAGGGACCGACACCTTCGGCTGCTCATCCTGCTGCTGCTGCTCGCTCTCTGCCGGTGCAGGCAGGGAGACTCCTCTCGTCTCCTCCCTGGCGCCACCAGCTGTCTCGCGGCTCGCGGACACACCAGATGGGCGCCCGCCTCCTCCTCCTCCTCCTCGTCGTCCTTCCCCTTGTCCTCCCCGTCTGCAGCGAGGAGGAATACAGTCATGTTCTTCGCGGGGAGCTTAGACCAATGCGAAAGCAGTGAGGCGAGCTGGCCGGCTGAGGTGCAGGAAGCACGGTTCCACAGGCGCATCTCCTACCATATCATACACTACCCTCCTCTTCCCCCTCCGCCTCCTCTTTCATTCGAGACAAGCGAGCTGCACACTCGCAGAAAATGGGGATTCTGTTAGAATCGGGGGCTGAACCGATGCGTTGGCAGTGGCAACGCAGAACATCGGGTGGAGCCGCCTGATGGTTTGCTTCTTCGGCTTGACCGTCAGCATGCGCATTGGCATGGCCATTGCTCAAACCCTGTTGGCAAGGCAATGTGGCGGTGACTCGCAAGACATCGCACAAGCACGTGTGACTGGTTAAATTCAAGGAACATCAACGCGCAATAACTAACTTTGCACAAGTGCACTCCCCATGCCGCAGACATGGCAAACATACGAACGCACAATACACTTGCTCAATTGCACGCCCCAAGCTGCAAACATAGCGAACATTGACCTGTGGCTGCCTGGGAAACGCAGCAGTAACCGCAGAATTGTCGATCTGAAAGCGCGGATGTGGCCAAGCAATCCCTGGCAGCCTCTGGAGATGTGCAAGTTCAACTTGATCGTTCGTGTTGTCCAGAGGATGGTTCGACGTGCAACACATCACAACTGCGACAACGACGACGTGGATGTCGTTTCAGAACTTGTTCGGCGTTTCTGACATTCTCGTCGCCATGGCTGCACTCAACCCAGAACAATTGGCCCGAATTGATCCCAGGAGAGGTCCCGGGAGCGATTGGGGCAAATTTTGTCATGAACCCATGAGAATGCGATGTGCCACTCTGTAACTGCGCAGAGGAGTGCGTGCAGTGACGTCGCAACGCAAACATGAAGCATGCAGCGTGCATGTGCGCATGTACGTTCGTGCTAGCGCGCATTCCTGTTCCGATCGTACGCTCCCCCAAACCAAGTGCGGTCCGAAGGTTTCAGCGCGCGCATCGTGGGTGCCGAAGAGGCATGTGTTCCAGGTGCCGAGTATCAGGGATCGCGCTGAGTGAGACGCGCTGGTGGGGCTGTAAGCGAGGGACGACCGACAAGGGAGCGCGGGCGCGCGGGCACGATCACAAACATGCGCATCTGCACTTGCGCAAGAAACGGGGGCTGGCCGGCAAGACGGGCCGGATTGGGCCTGTTCGCGAAGGGGACGTGAGGGACTTGAGATGACAGCGGAAGAACTTTGAGGAGGGGGGGAGCCGGGACTTGCACCAGTCTTCCGCAGGAACTTACGATTGACTCACAACAAGACAGACACATACACAAACGCAAACAGGCACACACAAACAAACACACACACACACGAACACACCCACACAGACAAACAACCAGACATAATACGCATGTGCCCAAACACACCGACACACACACACATACGCACCAGCACCATCACCATCACCGACACCAATGTTACACACACGCGCACACAAACACGCACAAGCACACACAACACGCAAGCACACTCACAACCACACATACACACAACACACAAATCACATACGCGCACCATCCACAAACACTTTTTTCCAACCATCCTGTGGTGTCGGGTTCTTGTTTTGCAGAGACAGCGCCCACGTTCCTCTCGTCCTCCCCATCCTCCCTCTCCCCACCTCCCCCCGTCTCCCATTTATGCCTGTGCCCTGCGCATGTCAACCATGTTGGCATACCCCTCACACGTTTGGTGGCCCCATAGGGAGCTCCACCTAAGGCCCCAAGTGGCAGCGCCCGCATGCAGTTCAACCCCCATATCGGTGAACCCCTTACACTTTTCGTGGCAACATAGGGAACTCCACCGACGGCCCAATGGCAGCACCTGCATGCAATTCCACCCTCCATTTCGGTACACCCCTCACACGGTTCTTGGCCCCAGAGGGAACTCCACCGACACCGCCTGCATGCAGCTTAACATCATTTCGGCACACCCCTCACACGGTTTGTGGCCTCATGAAGAGTCCCACCGAAGGCCCCATTGGCAGCGCCCGCACGCACTGACACCCTCCATTTCGGCACACTCGTCACACGTTTCGTGGCCTCATAGGGAGCCTCGCCGAAGGCCCCAGTGGCAGCGCCCGCATGCAGTTCTACCCCGACTTCGGTGCAATCCTCACACGTTTCGTGACCCCATGGTGAGCTCCAGCGAATGCCCCAGTGGCAGCGCCCGCATGGGGCCCCACATTGAATGTGAGCAGTCCCCTCACACGTTTCATGGCCCGATAGGGCTATGCCATCGGGAGCTCCACTTCAGGCTCCAGGGGCAGCGCCCGCATGTGGTCCCACCCGCCATGTCGGCACACCTCTCATACGTTTCGCTGCCCCACACGGCGCTCCACCAAAGGCCCCAATTCACCGTGGTGCTGGCCCCCCTCCTCATGCCATTCCCCTCGCGGTGCTCGAAGGCCCCAGTGGCAGGGCCCGCATTGCGGCCCCGTTAGATTTCGGCTCACCATTCACGCGCTTCGGGAGATCCACCGAAGACGGTACTCACAACGACGGTACTAACAACCGCATATGGTTGGGCCCTTCGCCAGACTAATTTGGCGCAGCGACGAAGCGGAGTCAAACAAGTACAGAAAAACATGCACACGCACAACCATTCACGAGTACATGCGCACGCGTACGCAAACACATTTTCACATTCACCTTCGCGCATACACACACACACGCACACACAGTCATACACACACACGCGCGCACACCACACATAGACACACACACACACTCATACTCATACCCTCCCACACAGTCGCATAAATACATACACGCACACACACACACACACGCACGCATGCACGCGCGCAAACACGCAC